TATCAGTGTAGACCAGAAGCTAGCGGTAGATGCCGTTGAAGAGATAAAGATCGAGAAGCATCTTAAGGACAACCTTGCGTGTGATCCCAAGATGCATACAGCATACCGCAGCGTTCTTGGCCAACTGACTACACAGTCGAACTCAAGTACACCTTTGTTATAAGGTTTCTCGCCGTGCATCGTGCGAGCTAAACCGATTATCGGTGACTGTCGAGAGCTTAACAAGGTAGTTCGCACACTGAAATGCCAGTATGTTGACGCAAGATTCTGGCCACTCAAAGGACCACTGCGGCGGATACTGGGCTTCCCTGATGCGTCGTACAGAAATAACGCTGACAAGAGTAGTCAGAGAGCACATGTTATTCCCCAAACAGTTTACTGTCAGAGGTTCTCAACGCTTTAAAGAATGGCCTTGGTGCTGGATGGTCTGGTCGGGTTCCCGGCCGGCTTGTCTCCTACTTCCTTTCACTTGTCTCCCAGTTCTTTTCATTTGTCTCCCAGGCTGGGTGCTTGTGGTCGGGCCACTTCCTTTCATTTGTCGTCCGGACACAAGCAAATCTAATTGAGACTGAATGAGTGGCCTCCATTTTGGTGTCCGTTTCAGGACCCCAAAACGGGTGCCGTTTTGTCGGCAAAATTTTGGTCACCGGGCGAAAAATAGCAAGAGTTTCGATTGTTTCTGCAGGTACGCGACAAAAGTTTTCCATACCGCTGGGTTTCCATGGCTTTGCAGCGCCGCAGGCACTTGTTCTCCACACCCTGCGAACATTTATGTCCGCACATGTTCTTGAACTGTTCAAGAACATGTGTGGGCATAAACGTTCGCAGGGCGTGGAGAACAATTGCTCGCGGCGCTGCAAAACCATGGAAACCCAGTGGCCCAGCGGTATGCAAAACTTCTGTCGCGTACCTGCAGAAACAATCGAAACTTGCAGTATTTTTCGCCCGGCGGCAAAAATTTCGCCGACACCAAAACGGGGGCCAAGTCGTCCGGACACAAGCAAATCTATATAATTGAGACTGAATGAGTGGCCTCCATTTTAGGGGTCCGTTTCTGGACCCCAAAACGGGGGCCGTTTTGTCGGCAAAATTTTGGTCACCGGGCGAAAAATAGCAAGAGTTTCGATTGTTTCTGCAGGTACGCGACAGAAGTTTTCCATACCGCTGGGTTTCCATGGTTTCGCAGCGCCGCAGGCACTTGTTCTCCACACCCTGCGAACATTTATGTCCACACGTGTTCTTGAACTGTATACTCGAGCAAACGTGGCCTATAGCAGGGCCACTGACCTTGCGGTACTGGCCTGCCCTGTCAACATGCAAGGCATCCCAGGTGCCTTCAGGTCACGCAGCGCTGCTGCATGGGGTCAGCACCGTCCATACAGGAGGCAGCCACGAGCGTCAGCCACACACCATGGCGCGGCGTCCGCCCTTTGGCGATGCAACATTTCTATTCCAGGTCTCTCACTGGTGTCCGCCCTTTTGCGCGGCCATGCAGCATATTCATGTGTCTCTCAGGCCTGTCACTGGTGGTGTCCGCCCTTTTCTGCTGGCCATGTAACATTTCTATTCGTTTGTCTGCCACATCTGTCACTGCTCGTTTGTCTCCCAGGTCTGTCACTGGTGGCATCCGCCCTTTTCCGCTGTTTCAATTCATTCGTCTCCCAGGTCTGTCACTGCTGGCGTCTGCCCTTTTCCGTTGGCCATGTAGCATTTCTATTCATTTGTCTCCCAGGTCTGTCACTGCCAGCGTCCGCCCTTTTCCGAGCATTTCTGTTCTTTTATCTCCCAGGCCCGTGTCCTTATTTGTTTCCCAGGTCCGTCACTGCTGGTGCCATGTAGGCATTTCTACTCATTTGTTTCCCAGGTCCGTTACTGCTGGTGTCCGCCCTTTTCCGTCGGCCATGTAGCATGTCTATTCATTTGTCTCCCAGGTCTGTCACTGCTGGTGTGCGCTCTTTTCCGCAGGCAATGAGCATTTCTATTCATTTGTCTCCCAGGTCTGTCACTGCTGGTGTCCGCCCTTTTCCGTCGGCCATGCAGCATTTCTATGCATTAGTCTCCCAGGTCTGTCACTGTTGGTGTCCGCCCTTTTCCGCTGGCGATGCAACATTTCTATTCATTTGTTTTCCAGGTCTGTCACTGCTGGTGTCCGCCCTTTTCCGGTGGCCATGCAGCATTTCTATTCATTTGTTTCCCGGGTCTGTCACTCATGCTGCCGCCCTTTTCCGCTGGCCATGTAGCATTTCTATTCATTTGTCTCCCATGTGATTGTCTTTCAGGTTTGGTGCCTGCACTGCTGTTTTCTGCCCTGTCCGCTGGAACAGGTTCACCTGTGAAAGGTTCTTGCTCCTTTGAAAGGGGTGCGTGACTGTCTCCGGGCTTGCATTCCTGCCACACTGTGTAACTCTCTCAGCTTTGTTTTCCTTTTCGGGCAAGTGTTGGATGAATGACCGGATTGGATTTCGGCGGCGTGGCAGCGATCTCTCTGTTCAGTTGACACGGAGGGCATGCGTCAAGCACCAAAAATCAATTTCACGTCACATCCTTCGCTCCTCATGCTTTTATTTCTTGTCCTCACGCGGTCAGCTCCCCGCTGATTGAGCAGCATGACCAGCATCATGTTCGCGCTTGAAGAATTTGGCAACATCCTGTCCCGTTTCTCCGCCCGCTACTTCGAGACGATGCTCGACAGTGGAGGATTTCCGGTTGCAGAAAGCTCTGCCCCTGGTGGGCGATACCCCAAGCAGTGGCACTTGCCGGAGTGGCAGGCCATTCTGGCACGTGAGGATGTCGAGTGGGTGGGCCTCCCAATGTGCGCCTTAGGATTGGGACCTCCTGACGAACCTGATCATTTCTATGTTCATCGAACTCGGGTCGTTTTTCCACGACACGCTCCCCTTCGCCAAGCCCTGCAGCGCCGGCGTCGTGGCATTGGCCCTCATCACCAACCATTGAAAGGATGCGGAGAGGGCACTGTGCTTTGCCACATCCTTGCCGATCTGCTTGAAGACCTTCGATCTACCGTATCCTCCCCGTTCGAGACGGTCGACAAGATGATGCCTGACAGAACGATCAGTGAGGAGAAGCGGATTGTCCACGACCAACGGGGCGTCAATCCGGGCGCCTCCGAGTTCCTACATCCTCCCGCGCTTCAACCAGCTCACGTCCAGGTTGCAAGACGCATACTCTGGCATAAGGTGAGATGCCCCAAGATACCAGTGTTGATGAGCAAGAAGGACGCATTCAGGTTGCTGTGGCTGGCCCCGGTGACGTTGAGCTTTTTGGGGGCGACATCCCGTGGAAGCCCGAGTCGTTGGAAGGTGATGTGGCGGTCGAGGGTGAGCAAGTGTGAGCATGGCATCACGGTCCTCTACTTGGTTTCCTCCTTTGGCTTCTCTGGCTCCCCAGGTGAGTGGTCGATGTTCGGCCGCGCCACAGCAGAGTATCACCGGGCCCACCGCCCGGCAGAGCCACGCCAGCACCTTCGCGCCGGGTTTGACGCCAAGGTCTTGGTCGATGACTGTATCTTGGTGGAGCCGATGGTGGGACTACGACCTTGGACCTTGGGTGAGCGCGGAGGTTTTCGGGCACGGTGTCCGACAGATGTTGGGACAAGCAGCGATCAACGTCGAGAAGGACAAGATCGAAGGGGAGTTCAGAACAACTCAGACAGTATGGGGCCTCGTCATGGACACCGAGACGGAGAAGGTCTATCTTTCCGAGAAGCGCATCCAGAAGGGAGCAACGTTGCTGGCCGAGAAGGAGTTCGACTTTGGCGAGCGGACCCTTACATTGAGGCAGCTGCAGCGGTTTAGAGGCATCATGACGGGATGGACCTCAGTGCTGAAGGGGTTTTCCTGCAAGGCCAAGATGGTGGAGCTCAAGTCCAACCTAAGTTGAAGGGCCATGGATCCCAGGCCTGGGCGGACCTTTGCGAGCTCTTCGAAGTCTTCGAGGCATGCCGCTGGTTGAACAGCAATTCCAAACAGTGGGAGGCTTTGTTTTGCTCGGATCTACGAACTATGCTCCCTCCCTTGGAGCGAGTTGCCCTACCTGGAGAGTGGGATCGAGTTGTGAGGTGATTTCATCAGATGCCTGTTCTGGGCGCTATCGACTGGACCGACCGCTTCACCTTTAGAGAGGATCGCCGGAACATCCGTCCATGGGTGACAAGGGTGCTCTCCGATCAGGACCTGGAGGAGGGCGGGATCATAGCCTTCGCATGTGCCGTGGGAGAAAGGTGGAAGGGTGCCGTGGTACTCTATGCCGGAGACAAAGAATCAGAACTGGCTGCAAGGACGACAAAGTGGGATCAAAGCTGGGAGATTGCTGATCCGACTGGCCAACATGGTTGAGATGAGGTATGGGTGCACTATCCTGGCTGGTTGGTGGAGGACCTACCACAACGTGGATGCCCAGCCGCTGTTCCGTTGGGCGAATGGCACCGTCCTCAAAAGAGTGGAGGGCAAACGCTGCTGCAGCAGGCAGCTCGAGCCGAGAGGTTCCTCAGTCACAGTCTCCGGATCGGTGGCGCCACAGCCCTATACCAGAGAAGGGGGGAGATTGAGCTAGTGAAGCGCCAAGGCCGATGGAGCAGTAGCGCCGTTCAGAGGTAGCTGCATGACGGAGGAGAGGAGCTTGCCAAGGTCTCCGTCAAGATGGCAAAGCTCGGCAACACCGCCTACTATGCATAGATGAGGTGAGGGAGCTGGGCACGATGACGCCACGGAGCCAAGCATGCAAGGGCATGAACTTGGCGAAGACAACTT